CTGCAGAGAATGCATCATAGACAAGAATGCTAGAGTTGGGAAGAATGTAATCATCGCAAACTCGGAGGTAATATTTTCTTTTATTTAAGAACAAAAAATGGACCTATCATACATACAATTCTTCATTTGCTTAGCTCATTTCCACTTATGTGATGGTGCAGGGAATACAAGAAGCAGATAGGTCATCCGATGGATTTTACATCAGATCTGGCATTACAGTGATCTTGAAGAATTCAGTGATTGGAGATGGAGTTGTGATATGATACTTTTTAAGTTTTAATTGTGAGAACTAAGAATGCAGAGCAGAACAGTCAAAACTTTATTGATAACGATGACACTTCTCATATAATCTTTCCGTGTAATTAGTTAGTTGCATTAAGCTGATGGAGTTTTGACTCACCCGTATAGTTGGATATAAAAAAATGGAGGAAACAAAGGGAAATTCTTTGCCCGAAAGATGAAAATTTTATGTACTGGGAAAATTAACACAGTACCTACAACATCAGTTCCTCGCAGCTGAACATTAGCTCATTTTCGAATCTTTGCAAGACAAATCTTTCCTCCGACGTGATCAGATTGGTAACAATACACTTCCTATCCGAAAAGGGTTTTCGACCAGCTCTTCCAGCTCGGTGCAGATAATCTGTAACCGTTTGTGGAAGATCAAAGTTGAAGATATGAGTTGTTTCTGTTAGATCAATCCCTCTTGCTGCAATATCAGTAGAAACAAGAAGAAACCCTCCTCCTTGCCGGATTTCCTATGGGAAATCGTTGAAGGTTAGTAAAATAGAGTAAGCATTGAGTATCAGAATCTGAGGAAAATAGAACCACGTACTGTTAGTGAGGCTGCTCGTGAATTAAAATTCATGTCCTCCTCTAGTAGGAGGATCTCCAGCGAGCCATCATATGATGTTTTGAGGAACTCAATGAGTAGAGTTGTAGATGGATCATTTCCAGCCTTTTTTGACTTCTCAGACTGAAGATAAGAATCAGAAAAGAATGTTAAATGGTTAGATTAAATGGATTCAGAAGGAATATAGAGATTTCCAAACCTGCTCTCCGACAAAAATAATAGCTGATTCAGGTGCATCAGACTCTAACAAGGCAAGCAGTATTTGATGTTTGTTTCCCTTCCCACACACCTGCCAAAATACGTATTAGATGTACAAACAGATGCATATCATGACAAAAGAAGTGGAACAAGTGAAATCTTACCACAAAGTTGTGAAGAAGGCACAAGGGCATGGGCATGATTGCGTTAACATGGACATGAACAACATCCCTCTGCAGAAATATGAAAAAAAGACACCTGACTTGAAAACCAAGTTCAGAAAAGTAATTTGTTATATTGTACTCGGGTAGTATCTACAGCAGCCCAAATCATATGATTCATTAACCAAGGCCGAACATAATTAACAGAGTACAGGAAGAATCATTCATAATCTAACCTTTGTCCACTTTTGCTGTATACAGTCATGCACAAAATGTTTATGCTGGGGAATGGAAGCACTGGCAAAAACTGTCTGACGTTTATCGCATGAAGAAAATGATGTCAGAAGCTTCCGCACAGAACCGACTTGTTTTGATGAGTAGAATAAGAAATCAACCTACCAAGTGACCGTTCAAATACATTTTAGGGTGAGATAATGTTCTGAGCACCATGTTCAATGTGCAGAACAGCCTCTGCATTTGCTATGGAGAATAAGCTGAGAAGTATAATACATAGAAGATAAAGCTTTTACCTCATCTACAACAAGAACTCTCACCGAGTCAAGTCTAAATATGTGCTTTTCTAGCATGTGGCACAAGCTTGCTACAGTAGCGACCACGATTGCCGGTGGCTCGGCCTGAAAAGTTCAACTCGCTGAACTAAATCACAAAAAGAAGAAGTGACTGGAGTAACCTAAGTTCTCTAACTTAATAAGATACCAAATTATCCAAAAATCCAACCTTTAGCCAGCTTTTGTGCCTTCTTAGCATCCCTCCGTCTAAGAGAGCCATTACTGTACATCCTTTCACTTCAACATCCGTGGATTTTGCAGCCAACATTCGAGCAACTTTTGTAACCTAAACCCAAATAGGCAAACAATTTGGAGTTATGCCATACTCAGATCAATTCAGAGTAATAAGATTCAAATCAATTTGCACACTCTTACTTGCGTGCCGAGCTCTCGAGTGGGTACAACAATGACAGCTTGCACAGAAGAACGTTGAGGATTTATAAGGGAGAATATGAGTAACAGGTAAGTCAATGTCTTGCCTGAACCTGTCTAGATCACCAAAACACAGCAACATAAACCTTTCTTGACAATAGACAAACAGATAAGCAAAGAGAGAACTAAACATTCAAAGGATGAGAAAACGGACTTGGGCATGGAGGATGCAATCACGTCCTGTAAACAAAGTAGGAAGAGCTTCTCTTTGAATATCAGTGGGAAAAACAAACCCAGTCTCCTCCATTCTACACCAGATGTTCAAAAATCATTTCTCGGAAATTTCGAAATTCCATACATCTCAAAATAAATTCCACCGTTAAAAAGCAAGCTTGCCTGTGTAAAATATGCTCCGGGACAAAACCATGGCAGATTTGTCGTAGAGTCAGAGAAGTTGTTTCGGTGGCGGCACCGTCGTTTTCGATTTCAGAGCAAGCGTCGGCGACGACGGCTTGGAGGTTAAGGATCGGAGAGTTGGAAGAAAATCGGAGAGGTTTCCTCGTCGTGTGAAAGAAAGTAGGGTTTTGCTGCGTTGAGAAGAGGGAAGTGTGAATTTTAGGGAAGAGCGAGAGATGAGGAAGAAAGAGAAGCTGAGACGCCATTGATGAGCACCTCCGAAAGCAGAAATCGGAAAACAAGGATAACAAAACGGAGTTGGGACCAAATTATTTAATTCGGTTTAGAAATTAAAAACCGAATAAATTAAGAAAGAAATTAATTGGTTTGGTTTTGAATTAACGGTCGGTCAGGAGAAATTCGGTTTTATGATTCTCGGGAAAACAACTTGCGGGGTTGACTAAACCAGGTATAACTAAACCGATATCAATTGAAGTGGTTATACTCGGTTCATAATATTTCCTTTTTTTGTAAGTTACCTATGAGTCTATGACTATATATATATATGAGAGAAAATTGAAGTTCTCCACACGAAAAAAAAACCCTCACTGCCTCTTGACTCTCAACTCGACTCTTACTTAACTCTGTCCTCTCTGTCTTTGTTTCAAAAATCAGAAAGAATGGTGAAGAGGGGAGGGCTTAAGAGGAAGATTTCCATAGAGAAGATCGAGAAGAAAACATCTAGAGGACCTTGTTACTCCAAACGTTGTCAGGGACTCTTCGGCAAAGCTTCGCAGCTTTGCCTTCTCACCGGCGCACAAATCGCCGTTCTAGCCACTCCTATGTCTGACAGTTCCCACGTCTCTTTCTACTCCTTCGGCCACTCCTCTGTTGATGCCGTCGTCTCCGCTTTTCTCGCCGGAAAACGCCCTCTTATCTCGCCGGAAAACAGCAAAGCCAAGAGGGAAGACATCGGTATCTGTTTGACACAAAAGAATCTAGGGTTAGGGTTTTGGTGGGAAGACGAGGCTCTTACCAGATCGCAAGATCCCCAAGAATTGAGCGACGCGGTCGATTCCATGTCGAAGCTGTTGAAACATGTCAAGCAATTGCGTTCGAAGGATGCCTTGAAAAATCAACTAGACTTGGACTGTCATCATGATCAGGACTTTAAGAACAACGACATGATGAAGAAGACCGATGATCATCTTGTTTCACGCCATGGAACTCAAGAGCCGGAAACCACTCCTGCAATTTGTTGCATCTCTGATGATTTCTTACAGAACACGGATTCTCAAATCATGGCTAATTCTCAAGATTCCTGTATTAATGACAACAAAAACAACGAGAACACTTCACCAGTGGAATACTCTGATGATTTCTTCGAGAAGATGGATGCTGAGATAATGGCTTATTCTCAAGATTTCTGCATTATGGACAACAACAACGAAAACGCTTTACCTGCAGAAAACATGGATGATATCGACATGGATCTTGATCAAATCATTGATTTTGGGACGGCTTCTGAAACCTTATTGTCCTTCTATGATGGGATTCTCAAGACAAGTTTTGAAAGCTTATTATCCGATGGTGTTTTCGAAAGCACTCTAGACCTTCAGGAGTTTGCTGCTAGTCTTCTCACTGGTTCTGATTCTCATGACTCTGTGGATCCAATTATGTTCTCTGATTCTGAACCTGTTAAAGATGGAGATTTGGTGCTTCAGAACAGAGGTGGTTTGAATGATGATCACCTCCACTCCTCTGACGTTTTCAATGAGTTAACTCCTATTGTTACCCTTTGAACAAAGCTTATTGATTAGTAACTTCTGATTATTTTCTTTATGTATGTAATTTGTATAACCCACTACTATGTTTAGGGTTTTGTTCTGTTAACTTTGATGAGAGATATATGTGTCGTATTTGATGTAATGCAGCGTCCGGTTTGACTTCTATCAATTTTCCATATATATGAAGGAAATTGATCGAACTCAAACCGGTTCAGCTTCAATTTGAATTAATGATAAAGTCTGAATTCTGGTTAGATGTTTTGTATTTGTAGTTTCAAGTCCAAAATCATGTAATACTTTAATAAAACTCAAAACATTAACCTGTCACAAATTAAATTGCAGACACAAAAAGTCGAAATTGGAAGGAGAAGTGAAACTACAAAACATTAACCTGTTCACTGCATTTCTGCTAATAATATATACACTTTGTGAATCTTTTTCTTTTGTTCCTCTACAAATCATAAACTTGTTCCCAAGAAATAATAGCTCGTACCAAAAACAAACAGTATGTGTTTTTGTTTTTCTGTTTGCTGACCTTTTTTATGGTATTATACCAATCCCATTGGAAACACAAGCTAATGAGTCTTATAAGACCACCGAACATAACTTCAATGAAAGCATGCCAAGCCGATCTCTGAGGGGACATGCCGCTGCTCGCAATTGATAGCAAGAAGCCAATGAAATGGCACGTCACTGTGAATTTTCCTGCTTTGATACCATCAAGACATATCTTGGCTACTTTTTTGGATTTCATTGAACCAGAAGATGCGGCTATGATGGAAGTGAGCTCTGGCCTCTTCTTCTGTTCTGAGAGCCCAAACAAGAAAAATTCAATCAATCATAAATCTCAAATCAGAACAGCAAGCAATTGTGTTATACTTCATTCACAGTATTTTCAATGCGATGTATCGGTACCAAGATCAGAGATCACACAGGAAGAGAGGGAAATTTATACTTTTTAAAGCAGAAACATTGGCCACTTTTTGAGTATCATTTTAAGTTTCGCATACTAGCTGGTAAATGATGCAATACACTAGCTCGTAGTAGAGGAAATTAATCTTGCTCGCTTTCACCTCATGATATTGTATCATTGATACAAGCTTTTCAGTAACAGTAGATTATAATGTGTTTTTTAGCTTAGGACCATATGCTCTTTTATGTAGTCTATCTACACATCTTAATGAATTCTACTGAACCAGAACGAGCAACTAATTTGGATGTTAATTGAGTCATCCGCTCAGTATAATGAAACTTCTAAGAGCAAATGCACTATGACAACTTGCATTTTATGCGGTATATACTTCTTTGTCATAATCTATGTGTCCATGATGAATTAAACATCTAAAAAAAAAAACTAAAGATCGCGGGATTGTCTTACCTTCTTCAAATCCGGGTGTATCCGTGTCAGGAGGAAACAGAAGAGTGATATGAATGTCATCAGAAATAACTTCTTGCTGCAATGCTTGTGCTAAACCCTGAAGCCCAAACTTGCTTGCTGAATATGCAGCGTAACCGTAGACACCTGCCTGAAAAAGGTAATAAACACGAGGCATCACAAAGTCTATCTGAGAAAATGCATTTCTCGACTTTCACAAGTGATTACATTTTCACAAAGGAAATTCAACAATTACCAAACTGTTAGCATCTGCTTTAAATTCAAGCTGAGAACAATCTTGACTAGAACCATAGATTGCTCTTGACTAGAACCTTGAAAAAAGCAAAATTCTCAAGCTAGCTAAAGCAATTTATGTTCTGCATTTTTGCAATGACCAGAATAAGCATAAACTTGGCTTGATGTTACTATACACAATCTATCACATGGCTAAACAAGAGTGCTAGTTACAAGAAATCTATCTAGTGACTGGAGACTGATGAAGAAAACCCTAAACGGCGGTAGAGAGATTGAGAGGCGAACCTGACCAGCTTGAGAGGACACAAGAAATGGAAGCAGGTCCAAGACCTTCCCTAGCTTTCATGGCAGGCAAAGCAGCCTTGATCACATTAAAGCTTCCAACCAAATTCACATCAATCATAAACTTGACTTCCTCTGGGCTCTGTTTCTCAAGCTCTTTCCCAATAAACACTCCCCTTTTTTTTTTTTTTCAATAAACACGCCTTGATTGACGATTAACACACGTCAACCGCCTTCGAAACGGCGTCGTAATCACGAACGTCGGCGGAGAACGTGGCCACCTCGACGCCGGTGCTAGCTTGATGGATCGTTTAGCGTCGACGAGCTTATCAGCGGATCGAGCGAGGATGGAGACTCGAGCGCACTCGGCTGCAGCACGGTGGGCGAGAGCGAGACCGATGCCGCTGGATCCACCGGTAATGAAGACGTGGCGAGAGTTGATTGGGATCCTGACGGATCTTGGCCGTACGATCAGAGCCAATATGATG